AAATGGTCACAGCTATAACTAAAAGTAACTAAAATGGTAACAGCTATAACTAAAAGTAACTAAAATGACCACAGCTGTAACTAATAGTAACTAAAATGGTCACAGCTATAACTAATAGTAACTAAACTGGTCACAGCTATAACTAATAGTAACTAAAATGGTCACAGCTATAACTAATAGTGACTAAAATGGTCACAGCTATAACTAAAAGTAACTAAAATGGTCACAGCTATAACTAATAGTAACTAAAATGGTCACAGCTATAACTAATAGTGAATAAAATGGTCACAGCTATAACTAATAGTAACTAAAATGGTCACAGCTATAACTAATAGTAACTAAAATGGTTACAGCTATAACTAATCGTAACTAAAAACGATCTCCAAACTGACACATTAACGTAATCCACCCCTCTTATCCTCTATTAAAGATGCATGTAATTGTACAGAATATCTCACACTCTTTCTTCTGTCAATCAATAAGCTCAGTACTAGTGTCATCATTTCAGGATAAGGAAACTTACAACAGAGTTAGTTGGGAGATTTGAACCCGAGACCTCTGATTTCTAGAGGAATGAAGTGATGTCTCTCCATCACACTGTATCCCCCCTTTTTACCTTTGTTTGAGTTTTGCTTTGCCAAGCACAAACTCTTCATTGTAAGCAACATAGCACTTTCAATAAAGTTGGTCAGACACCAACAGAATGGCAGAAATATCTGGGAGACCAGGATGTGCATCCAGGACCTTCACACAACAATCAGATTCTTAACCAAATGGTGGGGACAAAAAAAAGCATCTTTGAAAAAGTTTTTTTTTTCAAACTTACCTTTAACTTTTAATATATGAAATTTGGCACAAGAGGAAGTCACTTCATCAGTAAAAAATCCACAAATGTTTGATTATCCTATGATTATCTTACATTGTAAACAGTTTGTACGCTGTCCCTCTGCCTGTAAACAGCTCACTGCAGGATTGTTAGCTCCATTACAGCATTCTAACATAGAAAGAATCGGAGATACTTCAGTCTACATGACATTTGTGACTGAAAATAGCGAGAATCTCCATTGACTAAGATCACTGTTCCGCTTTGTTAAAGCTACACTGAGGATGGTGAGAGTCTGTAGCTGTTTCCGGCAATCACCTCCGTACAATATAATATATTTATTTATTTTCCTTCGCTAAAGCATGACTGAAAACCAATAGAATGTGAAGTAACTTTTGTCAATCACCAGTACCAATTTTCTATAAAGTACTAAAGTACATGCAACACTAAATTACTATAATCAACACTACAGGTATCGGAGATAATACCACCGACATATTTCTCCACTGTCACTTTCTCAGTGAAACAGGTACTGTATACAGAACACGACTGTTTAAAACAGACAGAAACTGTAGTAGATACCTTGACAGTTTTAAAAGTCACAAGAAAGAGCTATGTAGACTTATGTGTACTTCTCAGACAACAATGCTTGTTCACGGGTCAGTGATTTTATATGACAACAACTTATAACGTGATATATGACAATAGGGCTGTATCGC